AAAAAAATTTATAGTTTCTGAATTATCACTATCATTCCCTGTCATATTTTGTCTTTTAACAGCTGTAACGAAAAATAATAAATGACACTACTACCCCTTACAAAATATTCTTTTCTTTGTCCTATACTGATTATTTAATTTGACCTTAGATTAAATTTTTATTTGACCAATATTAAAATAATTTAATCATAATTAAATAACTCTTATTTTTTATATACACACACATAGACATATATATATTATATAATAACAAAATACATCAATTATATATACAAAATATAATTCGCTCTATCAATTACAACCCATTGTATATTCGGGCTGAGTCGGGTTAGCAGAAAAGAAACCGAGGCAGCAGGCAGTTCCCTTTTTTTTTTTTTTTCGGTTTTTTTGAACAATGCAGGCAGTTCCTGAGTTGCACGAAATATCGAAAAGTAGGGGTGCTGGGCCGAGCCTACCTACCATGTTGTCAACAGACCATGGCGGGTCACTGTCGGGCTGTCAGTTGGGCTAGCCTTAGTGGGCCTTTAATGAGGAAACCTTCTTACAAGGCATCATGGACCTATATGGGTAGGCCATGGGCTTACTAGATGGACCATAAACGGTCCAAACTATCGTGCATAACGGGCCGCAAACAACCATGACCCTGACAGGTGGCTTAACAAGCTCCACGTGGGGCTGGTTACGGGCTTACTTGATAGGTCATTAACTGGTCAGACTAGCGTGCATAACAGACTATCCACATGACCACGATCATGAGCCATAGCTTAATGACCCTCCACATGGGCTTTCAAAGTCTGGGTTGGGCCAGACCATGATCCACTGGGTCATTAGGTAAATGGGCCAACCCTTGGGACACTGCCAAGCCTATCCACAACCAGAAGCTATAAATTAAGGGGGACACGTCTCATCTTGTAGCTAGCTCTGAACACCACACTCTTGTGTACACGACAAGAGAGAGAGAGGGAGAGAGACTAGACCCCGGAGAGAGAAATGACTGCTCTATTTTCTCTGTACCATGCCCCGTCTGCGTCATTTCCTTCTACTTCTTTCGGCACTCCACTGAGTACTCTGAAACATCTATCTTCCTTTCCAAGAATCAAAAGAACCCTCCAGTTCAAGAGAACACTCTTTATAAACTCTCTTCTCTCAGCTGAGAGTGACCCATCAGTACCACCGCAGGTCCAGACCTTCTGGCAATGGCTCCGGGAAGAAGGAGTGGTCTCCTCTAAGACTCCGGTGAGACCAGGTGTCGTACCGGAAGGTTTAGGATTGGTTACCCAGAGAGATATTGCTAAAACGGAGGTCGTTTTGGAGGTGCCCAAGAGGCTTTGGATCAACCTAGATACAGTCTCAGATTCAGAGATTGGGTATGTGTGTGGTGAATTGAAGCCTTGGGTCTCTGTTGCTCTGTTTTTAATCAGAGAGAAGCTGGGGGAAGACTCCCAATGGCGACATTATATAGACATTCTTCCAGAGTATACCAATTCTACTATATATTGGTGTGTCTGGCTTAATTTTTTTAATATGATTTTTTTTTCTTTTCTGTTAAGTTGCTATTGCATTTTCTTACAAATTGGTTGCTTGGTAACTTGGGTTTTGCTGTTTTGAGATGGACTTGAAGTTTTGGTGTTGATGATGTGTTGTTTGATTGCTCTTCCAGTGCAGGTCAGAAGAGGAGCTTTCCGAGATTCAAGGTTAGTGTAGTTTATTACTTAGACATGTTGTTACACAGAGAATATGGCTGAAAATTTTATAGGGCTCCTATGTTTTAATGATCTTCAAAATTGTATTGATTTAATTGAAGGGAACTAACTATTAGCTTAGCTAGCATTCCGGGGGAATCTACTCGTTTAGTATTCTATGATCACGCCCAGACAGGGATTCTACCCCGGTTGGCCCCTTGAACCCTTTTCACTTATCAAGAAAAAATTGGCATGATTATTTGTCTGAGGTTCTGTGATTGGCTGACTGGGTTCAAATAATGGAGATTGCTAATCCTTTATTTATTATGGCTGGCTTCATCCTTGACGTAATAGTGGGAAATAACCTCAATTTTTAGCATGTTTCCTGATGTTGATGTGAATTTACTGCTGCAAATAAGCAAGTTGATTTGAATGCATTTTGTTGGCTGGGGGGTTTTTGCTTTGTGATATACCAAAACTCTATATCTAATTTTAAAGATTAAAGATATGGCACACACTCCCTTGGATGCATGAGGTTATTGGGCAGTGTCGAAAATCTTCGAATTTGGTTGTGATGTTTTCCTTATTACCATGATGGATCTGTTAATAGCTTGTTCATGCTAGCTACAAATTGTGGTCTACAATTCTTTTAGTAAAGACATTTATGCTTTGGTAAATTTTCATCTCATACACTCCTTTGAGCTAATTGGGATAACAACTTTATCTGATTGAACTTCTTGCTTCACCCTAAGTCCNCGCTAGCTACAAATTGTGGTCTACAATTCTTTTAGTAAAGACATTTATGCTTTGGTAAATTTTCATCTCATACACTCCTATGAGCTAATTGGGATAACAACTTTATCTGATTGAACTTCTTGCTTCACCCTAAGTCCAATAAGTTATTCAAAATACAATGAAAGGCCTATAGGAAAAACCAAACTTTTGTCTTAGTAGTTCAGTGATTGTTTCCGATCATCCTCAATTTCTATTTTTTATTTCCTTCATGGTTATCCACTAGCAAAAGCATAACTAGTTAGATTTTGCAGGAACCCAACTACTGAGCACAACATTGGATGTGAAAAAATATGTTCAGAGTGAATTTCTGAAAGTGAAAAAAGAAGTCATACTTCCTAACAGGCAGCTTTTCCCGTTTCCTATTTCATTGGATGACTTCTTTTGGGCATTTGGGATAATCAGATCAAGGGCATTTTCCCGTCTTCGTGGTCAAAGTCTTGTTTTGATCCCACTTGTGGACTTGGTAAGGTGTTATGTCCAACTTCAAATTGGATTTCTATGGCAGCGACTCTGTCATTGGATTTTTGGTTAAATGAATAGCACACAGACAGAGGATAGACAATCTCGAGCAATATGGTTTTACATGGTGTCAATACACCCTAAGCTGTTTATAATGAATATAATGAAGTGCCAAGGCTGATACTATTCTTACTGTAAAACTCGTTAAGTCTAAATTGCAGACCTTCTGGACTTCACCCGACTTTATTTTCAAATTCAAACACTAGCAGGACACTAGAGGTCATATGTCCTTGAACCTACCATCTACTGCAAAGATCGGTCCCTATACCTGCATTAGACATTCTATTACTCATGTAAACTAAAAAAATTTGCTGTCCTAACTCAAATAAATTAATTAATTAATACCAAAAATTATGCAATAGAATCCAGCTGTTCAGCAGTTACACGACAAATTTTCCGTTATACTGTACTGAGGCTACACAATTTTTGTTGTCATGTGATAGATAAGTGGGGAAGCAGGGAAGATTCAAATAAGTTTCTTTCTTAGGAGCATGTATTTGGCCGGCCCTTCACACTAAGACTGTATTCACCATTGAAGTTCATCAATGCCTGCGCTACGCAGTGCCTTTAGTTGTAGGATGTGATTTTGCCAACCTCGACATTAAATTGCTTAAAAAATTTCACTTTCTTTGACATGGTTTATGGATCAGATCAATCACAGCCACACCGTAACCACAGAAGATCATGCCCATGAGATTCCAGGACCAGCAGGTCTTTTCTCCTGGGATCTCCTGTTTTCTTTACGGAGCCCAGCACCAGTCAAGGCTGGTGAGCAGGTGAGGTTTATTGGTCATATCTGAATCTTCTTTCTGATTTTAATTATATTTCGAGCTTCATATTTCACTCAACTCAACAACACCTTAATCTCCATTATTTTGGGTTGGCTAAGTACCAAGTATTTAATGAACATGTTAAACTTGAAATCGATTATACTGAAGGACACATACTATATTGTTGAAGAAATAAGATAAAAGGGAAAATGATGTATCAAACACTACACAACATTGAAATGTTTAAAAGCATAAATAAAAATGTGTAGACAGAATTAGTGATAAGAGTTCAAGACTATCTTTGCACTTATTTCAGGCTTGAGGTGTTACATTTCATGTACCATTTTAATTCCGAAGGAATCTGAAAAACCCTGCCTCATTAACACCTATAATTTCCACTTATTAGCCTTATGAACTTTATCTTAAAGGGCTCCAGTTCAAGTGAATGAGTTTTAGTTTTATAACTCTTGATTACATGACAGCATCAGGATTTTGGCAGGTATTTATCCAATACAATTTGAAAAAGAGCAATGCTGAGTTCGTTTTGGACTATGGATTTGTAGATTTAATGCCAGGCCGCGATAAATATATGCTAACATTAAAAATATCTGAGTCAGACCCATATTTTGGGGACAAGCTGGACATTGCGGAGTCTAATGATCTGGGACAAACTGCCTGCTTCGATATCATATTGGATCGTCCTCTTCCACCAACAATGTTTCCTTATCTGCGCCTCATAGCTCTTGGGGGATCAGATGCTTTCCTTCTGGAATCATCTTTCACAGACTCTGTTTGGCACCACCTTGAATTGCCTGTTAGTCGCGCCAACGAGGAGCTCCTCTGTCGAAGCGTTCAGCACGTGTGCAAATCCGCACTTTCTGGTTATCATACCACCCTCGAAGAGGTAACTATTCATCCTTGTTCACATTGCTTCTAAGGATTCATTGTTCTGCAATGTCATCACTCCTTGCTATACTGCCTATGGATATAAATAGAGATCTGTTACACTAAATTTACACATCCTCTGGACTCAAAATAATGAATAATGAGCATCACTTAAATGATCCAGTTTAAGCTGCATACTAATCTTCCTGGTAGAACCCCTGAGGTTGCATTTGTTTTCTTTTCTTTGTTTCTGTTGATATCATGTTGTCTAATTGTTTATTCATTTTTTTCCATTATCTTACAAGTTTACTGTATTTACAGTGATGGTATGCTTGTTTGCTTTAAATATCTGAAGTTAGAACCCGAAGATTTTGTTTCAGTAACTAGATGCTTAAAGCTTTTACTTACGAAATAATGAAGTAAATTGTAGGATGAGAAATTGAAGGAAGAAGGAAACCTCGATCCAAGGCTTGAGATAGCAGTTGGGATAAGGGCAGCGGAGAAGAAGGTGTTGCAACAAATTGAAACGATCTTTAACGAGAGGGAACTAGGATTGGATGGATTGGAATATTACCATGATAGGAGACTGAAAGAGCTTGGTCTGGTTGGGGAGCAAGGTGAAATCATCTGTCAGCCTAAGTAGGATACCATTTACTCCACATGGTTTTGTTAATGTGCGGTGATCAAGAGAATTTCATCACAGGTCCTAAATGAACAATATGTTTGTTACTCGACCCTTTCGAGATCTCAAGGAGTGGAAAGAAGGTAACAGCTCACAAACATCTTTTCTTAATTTGTACTGCATCACCTCCACCAAGTTGTACCAAGTTGAGCTTCACATGCTACAAGTAGCAGTCATAGTTTCATGGATTCTTTCAATGTTTTCCAAATTCCTATGGCTTTGAACTACTCATATGTTTCCTGCTTTCCCAGAAAGTTTTCACTTTCGGGACGATTTGTTGTATGATGCACTCTCTGTAAAGTTAGCAACCAAGTTACTCTTCATTTTTTCTTTTGCATAGACAATAATAACTGATGGGTCCAGTTTAGAAATGCAAACCAGGTCCAAACCAGGTCCAGTTCAAATATATAGGTCAAGTCCACCATAGGATCAAGAAAGTTCAGTTGGGTTAACTTCGTCATTTTGAGATACTTAATTTACAATTGACACACGAGAAGATCTCCATGGGACGCAATCATTGGGTGTGTTAATATTATTAAGGCTAAACAAAAATAATAATCCAACAATTACAAGAATACACAATGTAGGTCCTTATATATTAGGACAACAAATTAATATAAAATGTCTAAACCTCAAATTCATGATGTGGTAGCATCAAACATCAAGAGTTTGCCAAGAAGGAAAAGGAAGCGCGCGATGGTGTGAAATTTTGTAAAGAAATCTGTCAACTGCATAGTAAAAAGAACAAAAGGGAAAGATATCGTGTCCAGTTGAAGATGGTGGTATACAAAGTGACAATCAATCTCAATATATTTTGTGCGCTCATGGAACACTGAGTTATGAGCAATCTAAATTGCACTATTTATGAAAAAAACTACACTCATCTGAAACAGCTCGATCCTGATATTTAGTCTGTGAATAAGAAGTCCCTCTGGGTGGTACAGTTAGTACAGTCTGATTAGGCAATGGAAGAAGAGTCTTTCTAGAAAGAGTTTTAAGACGAACTTCTTTAGTCAGAAGCTCATTCACTACTGCATCAACTGTGAAAAGTGGAAGACGATGTAGAATAGAACCACGAAGTCCCTCAAAGTCATCTCTAAGTGTCATCAAAAACTGCCCCAAACGTTGCTCCTCCCTAAAAGTACGATGGACCATATGAGTATTCAATTCAACAGATTCAGCAAGTATTAGCTGATCCCAAAATTCAGTCATAACCAAGTAGAACTCTTGTATGGTCTTATCACCTTGACGTGCAACTCGAATTTCAAGCTTAAGCTGATATCTCTTTGCAAAATTGGATTAAACAAATAATATAACTAAATAATTATAAATCTCCTTAGTTGTGTTAAACTTAGTCAAATACACATCAATGGTCTGATCAACTGAGTTGTTAATCCAAGTGATAATTTTAGCATTATTAATTTCTCAGGTATTCTTTAGGTCAGCATATCTCTCTTCCTTCAAATCTGTTGGAGTTTACAATGCACCACTAACATAACTCCATATCTCTTTTTCCAACAAGAAATTCTTCGTAACATAGGACCAATATACATAATTTTTATCATTTAATTTAATACTAATAACCTAAAGAGAATCAGAATGTCCACTTGCCATAATATTAACAAGAAGAGTGGACGCTCGTAACAAAATAATACCTAAAATAAAACAAAAGACAGGATTCAGATGCACCAGTCAGAACAGGAAGCAAAAGACAGCAATCAAATGCATCAATCAGAACAAGAACCAACCAGCAGGGGCCTATTCTTATGGTGAACAGCTGTCCAAAACAGTCAAAATCCAACTAAACCAATCTAAACCAAGAACAGAAATCACCCTTCCCACAGTTGATATAAAAAGAAAACAAACCAACAAACCAATGTTTACGGTGAACAGCGAAAGGCTGAACCGAAAGAGATAAAGAACCGAACCCGAAAGAGAAGACCCAGACGGAATTCGGATTCGGACCCTTCGTCTTCAACCTCTGGACGAACACCCTACCTCTGGACGAAAGAGAAGACCCAGACGGAATTCGGATTTGAACCCTTCGTCTTCAACCTCTGGTTTTAGCGAAACCCCTAAGCCAGCAACAATCGATTCGATCAATCACAGCAAGAACTCAACTGCTACTCCAAGAAGAACGATCGATACCATGTTAAATAGTGGTCGATGAACAACGATTCCTGTCGATGAAGGGCAATATTACATAAAAAGGTAACTCCACCTCAACGGAGACTCTGACACCATGTTAATATTATTAAGACTAAACAAAAATAATAATCCAACAAATACAAGAATGCACAATGTAGGAGGCCCTTATATATTAGGACAATAAATTAATATAAAATACCTAAACTATTTATAATATAAATACTCTAACAGAGTGCACGTCGTCACCTCTACGAAAACTGTCTCATCTGTCATGAAAATAGCGTCACTTTTATCGAACTTTCACTTGTTACGAGAATGACGCACGTCATCACCTCTACGAAAACTGTCTCGTCTGTCATGAAAATAGCGTCACTTTTACCGAACTCTCACTTGTTACGAGAATGACACTTCAATTTGTTAAGAAGTGTCTATGAATTGTTCGTTCCACATACACAATAGGGTATGATTTACATATGAATATTCTACACTCTTTGAGCATTAAAATACTCAAATCACCCTAACCCTTCATAGTAGAGTAAGTCATCCTGATCGAGTTACCTAATTTGTGTTTGTTTGTGTGGAATTTCCTTCTTAATTACTGCATTAAATACTTATCAGATTTTACATAACACACATTTTGTGAATCATCAATAACAATAATTGTTTTCAAATGGATAAGTCACACAAAATGCTACATTGGCTCATGTTGAAATGGAGGGATTCATCATCCACTTGTGTTTCATGGTACTTGAAATGTGATCACTCAACCCACCCACCTAATTCGCCATTTTTTTCATGATGAGGAGCTCGAGTCATGCTCGACTTATTTTGCACCCCGAAAGATCGTTCGGATCTCAATTTACCCCTCAAAGATTAAAAATCTCAATTTACACCCTCAAAGATAGAAAATTGTATCAATGTACACCCCCAAAGATCAAAAATCTCAAATTGCACCCTCAAAGATAGAAATTTGTATCAATGTACACCCCCAAAGATCAAAAATCTCAATTTGCACCCTCAAAGATAGAAATCTGTATTAATGTGCACCTAAAACTAAATTGATAAATTATACCTAGATCCCCTCATGTTTGTCACTTAATCATTTGAATCCCTTCACATTTAGAATATTACTCCTACATCTCATGACGTTTGTACATGTGTAAACATAACCACTTTTCGTTGATATCTATTAATATAATCGTTAAAAAATATGATTTTATCCTAATAAAAAATTATAATTTCATATTACCCTTTATTTTGTGGATTCGATATACTCTAAAGTTCAAAATCAAGCTTACCATTTGAATGTCTAATAGAATGTAGATATTTATAAAAAGGAAAATATGAAAAACATTATATAAATATCTATATTTTATTAGACATTCAAATGGTAAGCTTGATTTTGAACTTTAGAATATATTGAACCCATAAAATAAGGGTAATATGAAATTATAATTTTTTATTAGGATAAAATTATATTTTTTAACGGTTATATTAACAGATATCAATGAAAATGGGTTACATGTTGTACGTGCATAAATGTCATGAGATGTAGAAGTAATATTCTAAATGTAAAGAGGTCCAAATGATTAAGTGACAAACATGAGAGGATCTAGGTATAATTTATCAATTTTAGTTTTAGATGCATAATGATACAAATTTCTATATTTGAGAGTGTAAATTGAGATTTTTTATCTTTGGGGTGCACATTGATATAAATTTTTATCTTTGAGGGTGCAAATTGAGATTTTTGATCTTTGGGGGTGCACATTGATACAAATTTCTATTTTTGAGGGTGTAAATTGAGATTTTTGATCTTTGGGGGTGCACATTGATACAAATTTCTATCTTTGAGGGTACAAATTGAAATTTTTTCTCTTTGAGGGTATAAATTAAAATTCGAACTATCTTTCGAGGTATAAAATGAGATTAACCCAATTTAGAATGCAGATAGTAATTTTTGAATTATGGGCATTGAGACAGTCATGGTGATCCAATCCTAATTGATGTTTGGACTGGGCCCGGTCATAAATGAGCTGGGTTGGGCTGACTCAAGCGAATGTGCTATGGCTCCATCATTTTTAAATTATATTTACTACAACTCACAAAAATCTTGCTAGTCACAAGCATAAGGATTTTATAATTTATCCCAAACCCACTTGGGTAAATTAAGATCTGTTCTTCAATATCACATAACATCTTTTTTTCTTAAGACTGGGACAAAGGATTCTTTTGGAACACAAAGAATAATTCATTCTGAATTAAGATATAAGAAATTTCGGAGTTATGAAGCGAATCAATGGAAAAACTGATTAAGGGGTCATTATCAATACGATTTATCTCAGATTAGATGGTCTAGATTAATCCCACAAAAATGGCGAAATAGAGTCAATCAATGTCGTACAGCTCAAAAGAAAGATATACCAAAAAATAAATTTTAGTTTTATAAGCTTGTTTTGATTTATTTGTAACTCTTTATCTTAAAAATTATGAAAAATAAAGAATAAGATAAAAAATAAAATAAAGGATAAATGTTATAATTAGTCTTTAAATTTTATCTTCGATTTTAATTTGATCCCTAAATTTTTAATTATTTCAATTTAATCTATTAACCATCATCTATTTTTACCGTTAGATCAATCAAAGGCTACCGGAATCTGTTTAATTTCAAGTGTTAAATCATATTTTTTTTGTTTTGATCTAATAGTAGATATGATTGAAAAGACTTCATTGAGACAAAATTAATAGTTAAAGGATTAAATTGAGATAATTAGAACTTCATGTACCAAATTAAAATTAAAGGTAAAATTTAAGGACTAATTATGATATTTATCCAAAATATAAATAAATTCATAATTTATTAGATAAAAAAAATCAATGCACATTTTTTAATAGTTGACCCCTATTTACCGTTAGGGAATTAAGTGTAGTTTACCTCATTTTTGGGCAACTCAGTGAATAAGGGACCGCCGTAGCTTTAGTCTAGCGAAAACGCTCGCGGATTGACTCTCTTCGTCGTTCGTCTTCTCTCTCCTTCTCGCCGACGGCCATCAATTCTACGCCGTCTCTCTCTATTTTCCCTCCAGCAACAAAACCAGAAATTTAGCTAGCAAAGTCTTAGAACTTATCGTGGATCAGTGTTAATCACCATGGTAAATCACAGGCACATACTCTCCGTCCTTGTGATCGTTGGCTTTTTATCAACCATAGCTCAATCAGTTCGATTCGATCTGCAATCGGGTCACACCAAGTGCATAGCCGAAGACATCAAATCCAATTCCATGACCGTCGGCAAGTACTCGATCGTCAACCCCAACGAAGGTCATCCCATGCCCGAGTCCCACAAAATCACCGTCAGGGTGAGAATTGATTGATTTTCCTTTTTTTTTTCTCGGTAACCAAACATAGGGTTTTGTTGGGTTGATTTTGTCCTTTTGAATTTTGTTTGGATAGGTAACTTCGGCGTATGGGAATAACTACCACTATGCGGACCATGTGGAATCGAGTCAGTTTGCGTTTCAAGCTGTGGAGGCTGGGGATTACATGGCTTGCTTTTGGGCAGCTGATCACAAACCTCAGACAACGGTTACGATTGATTTTGATTGGAAGTCTGGCGTGGCTGCTAAGGACTGGACCAATGTTGCCAAGAAAGGATCTGTTGAAGTAACTCTCTCTCTCTCTCTCTCTCTCTCTCGCCCAACAGAGAGTAAAGTCGATTCCTTTTTAAGGTTTTTTGGTTGTTTGGGTAGTTATTGTGTTTGGTTTGATGAGATTAAGCTTGGGTTGTTTCTAGGTACATGGAGAGAGATTAGTGATGGTTTTGTGGAATTTTCATGTGGGTTCATCTTTCACTGACTGTGCTGTGACTATGAATTTGGCTGACATGATTGTAACTTTAGGGTTGCTACAATTCAAGTATGCTATTTTTCACATTAGGGTGAAGAAAACTCATTTGTTAAGGTAGGAAATTAAGCACTTTATGAGACTAGTAGCCACTAGCCAGTATCATTTAGTAAAAAGATTAGATATACATCAGTCAAAACTCTTTGTAGAAAAGTAATGGTTCTTTACTCATCGACAAGAAACAAACTCCCAATGGTAAAGGAGATAATGAGTGAACATCTGCTATTTCACAGGAAAATTTTGGACTTGAGAAAGTAGTAGCATATATAATTGATTTCTAACATTTTCTGACTTGGATATGCCAAATTACCATGTATTCTTTTTCTTATTGACTTCCTTTAAGATGATTCAATGCAAAGGGTGCTACTGGGATCATATATTCATTTAGGACATATGACTATATGAGGAGCATGATATCTAGGTGCGTTTCAAAAGGTTTTGAATTTTGAATCAGCAAACGCGCAAAGCAATGTCTACTTATCTTGTTCCATCTAAATCAGCATTCTATGATATTGAGTTAACAGAAATCAGAGATAAGGTTAGAGAGGAAAATACAGTGAACTTCCCTAAATGGTATAATTTGGAGAATTCAGCTAGTTCATTTGTTGATATCCAGCCCAATGATGGAAAATCATAACCTGTGGATTTTAAGTTCAATAATCTGACTGCTTTGGTTTCATTTGCATTGTTCTGGCCGTTTAAATACTCAACTGCCTCTAATTTATGAGGCTGTATTTGGTGTTAGCAGACTAACTTTTGGAAATGGTGCAGATTGGCATGGGGTTTCAGTTCAGATTAGCATTTTATTTAGTCCATGGTGTATTGATGTCACAATGACCTGGACAGTTGCTTGCTTATTCTAGATTCTGAGATGTAATGAAGTCCCTTGACCTGATGTTATATCTTAAGCTTAGGTTAAATGCTTGCTTCCAAGTTTATGTGTAGCTTCCATCTTTATGAATTTGTTTACCCATGAACAATTGGCTTTCTACATAATGGTATTCTCAATAGCTTGAACTTGGTTTTGTTGGTCTTGCTTGTTACATTGGTTGTACATGAATTTATTTGCAGATAAGAGGAGGTTATAGATATGAATTATGAAACATGTGTATGGTCATTGTTTTGACTCCCAGGTTTTGGAATTAGAGCTGAAGAAACTGCATGAAACTGTTACATCCATTCATGATGAGATGTTTTATCTCCGAGAAAGGTTAGTGAGTAGAACTTATTCTACACATTTCTCAGTGCCTTTTTCCAAGGAACGCTATCACCTGCAGCTTATATACATGTTCAATGCCTGTTGCAGGGAACAAGAGATGCAGGAGCTTAATAGATCAACCAACTCCCGGATGGCTTGGTTGGGTTTCTTTTCACTTGCTGTTTGTTTATCAGTGGCAGGTTTGCAGTTATGGCATTTGAAGACCTTTTTTGAGAAGAAGAAGCTTATATAATTTTGTAATGGATACTATAGTTTTTTTTTTTTTTTTTTTCTCATTTGCCTATGTACAATTTTCGATCAATAACATAATTGTAACATTCTTATATCAATATCTTAGACCATCAGATTTTTAATAATGGAGGTACGTCTTAGAGCATGAAGTATTTTTGTCCTCCTCAACAACTAATGCCTTGTTGTATTAGTTACGCCAATCTCGTTATTTGGGAGCGTCTTGATTCTTGGTCGAGTTCTTAACTAATTGCGTATTATATGTAACCTGTTTGCGGCAACATATTCAAAAACCACTCTATCATCATGCACCTGGATGTCCTCCTGATAAAATCAATCAAAAAAATACATGACACAATTCTTTGATATATCAATTATACACAATTAATACACGATATAAATCCGATATGACACAACTTGTTAGACACAAAGTAATAAACGAATTGGATATGAGTTGAGTAATTTTTTACACGAAACCACCTCACCAGACATACATGATTAATAAGTCTAAGTGTGATATTCTAAAAGTGAATGAACATATCAAGTTTCAAATCCAAATTCTTTCCTCTTTCACTTGTTTTTTTTTTTTTTTGCGAGAAAAAAAAAGGGTGAGATCAAAAGAGAGCACCCAAAGACTACCTAGATAAACTCTCACTGATGAAATCATGAGACCCTTAACCGCTCGTGTTATTCCTCTCGTAAACCAACATAATTACTCCTTTTTCATTTATTTTGCTCCTCACTCAAATAAACCAAAAGCCTTAGAACTTACGGCCACTACCCCCAAACATCTTTCTATGATACGTACTAAGTCTGTAAATCTAGCGGTTAAAAAAAAAATTACTCTTCCATAGGAAGAAATATAGGATTGCTTTGTAATGGTATCAAGCACTTCTAAGCAGTAACATGAAATAGCAAGAGTTTTGATGCTCACTAGCTGTGGTGTGGTGAGGACATTTTTTGAAAATTATATAAATTCAGCGGTCCTTTATTAAGGAATAAAAGAGAGAATCTAAGCA